TCTTGTTCACTGTCTCCTGCTAACCTGCGCCTCCAGTCACACCTGCCGCCTGAAGTTTTATAAATGTACTTTCCTATAGAAAATGAACCCCCCTCCCACCTCGGCTCCATGGGGAATTCTGTTCCCAGACAAAAGCTAAGGGGTTTTTGTTTGTTTCATTTTTCTTCATATGCCTTAGGTAAGTTGTTAAAGGGACCACAGATGAACCGAATGTTAAAGGTCACCTCCCCAGACTGACTCAAAGTCGAGGGAGCAGTTTGGAGACAGTGAAGATACTTTTCTAGAATTCTCTCTTCCCTGGGACCATTTAACCCCACTTTTCCTCGGCATCCCCTACCCCCCAGCATGCTGCGGACTTTTTTTTACTCTGCATCTCTGAGTTTGTATAATAGCCCAGGAACTGCCTTCTGATTTGATGCATTCTCCAGTGTACTTCATGCACACAGCCTTTTACTTGGAAAATGATTACAATGGAAGGGGGCCTGGGTGGTTCTTCACACAGGCTGGGTCTTGCTGGGCTTGACATTTGCTTTGATCAGCTTTGAAATACCCAATTTAGATGGTTACCACCCGCAGTTTCAGGCTCATGCTCTGTGCTAACTCAGAGACTCCTTTGTTATCAAAACAATTGGGCTAGACTTTGTTGAACAATCTCTCTCTCATTGCCACTATCCAAAAGTCCCGATCATGTTGCAAATTCTCTCCCTGTTTCTCTTTTGTGACATCAAGTCTTTCCTTCTCTTCCCACCTCTCAAGCCAACTGTCTTTCTTTAGACCAGCTTCCTTCTTCTGTTCCTCAAAGGTAAGCCCTTTTGGCTCACTTTTTCCTCTTTCTCAGGAAACCTCACTTCCTCTTGGGGTTTCAGCTATTACTCTTAAAGTTACTAGATATTTCCTTCCTTCCTATATTTATGTATTTATTTCTTACCATCCTAACCATCTGTACGTGAAGAGCTCAGTGGTATTGAGTACATTCTCACTGTTGTGCAATCATCACCACCATGCATCTCTAGAACTCTTTTTTTCAATTTTTAACTTTTAAAAAAGATTTTATTTATTTATTCATGAGAGACACACAGAGAGGCAGAGACACAGGCAGAGGGAGAAGCAGGCTTCCTATGGGGAGCCTGACGTGAGACTTGATCCTGGGAACCCGGGATCATGCCCTAAGCCGAAGACAGATGCTCAATCACTGAGCCACACAGGCATCCCTCTTTTCCTCTTTTTAAAACTGAAACTTTGCCCCCGCTAAGTCCTGAATCCCCATCCTCCCCTCCCTCAGCCCTGGCAGCCACTAGTTTCCTTCCAGTTTCTATGAAGCTCACTACTAGGTCCCTCATCTATGTGGAATCGTACAGTTTTTGTCTTTTTGTGCCTGGCTTATCTCACTCAGCATAAGTTCCTTGTTGGGGAATGTTATCAAGAAGATGAGGCTGCTGATTGATCTGTGAACTGGACCCGGGCTCCAGGGTCCTCACTCCTTCCCTTGTTCTGGGAATGTGAGTTCCCTTGCCTTTCTTTTTTAAAGTTTTTATTTATTTATTCATGAGAGAGAGAGAGAGAGAGAGAGAGAGAGAGAGAGAGAGGCAGAGACCCAGGCAGAGGGAGAAGCAGGCTCCATGCAGGGAGCCTGATGAGGGACTCGATCCTGGGTCTACAGGATCATGCCCTGAGCCAAAGGTGGCGCTAAACCACTGAGCCACCCGGCTGCCCTCCCCTTGCCTTTCCTTTTTCCAGAGGTATGCTCCAAGGACCCACCCTCGACATGGTGATGCCATGTTGAAAACACCTTCCTGGTATACGTGACTGAACCGGGTTAGAGCCTCTTTGTAAACTTAAAATGTGGAGGATGGATGCGGGGCTCTGCTGGTCTTGTTGCTGCCCAAGACAAGCCTCGTGCATAAACTCCCCTTGCTGTTACTAAAATTGCCACCTACCCACCTGGAGCCTCATTCTTTGATCTCTCCCTGCCCTCCCTAATGGGGGTCAGTTTCATATTACCTGGGGGGAAGTTCCTGAGAGGTTTCTGAACCTACAGTCCTCAAGCTTCGCCCATGTGGCAGCATGGCAGCTATTACTTTTACACTAGTGATTTCGAATCTGTAGCTCCAGGCCTTATCTCTCCCCCAAGATTCACTTCTCCATCTCCAGTTCCTTTTGGATTTTTAAATCACCTTAGTCACCTCAGAGTCCATATATCTAAAACCATGCTCCTCTGCCTTCTCTTCAAATCAGGATTCCTCATTTCTAACTATAGATATAAGTCTCAATGATCTCCTTCCCTCTTGGGTCATATCTCTTGCTTCTTCCTCTGTTTCTCCACATCAGGTTACTTCACAGCAAACTGTTTATAGCTCCTTATTGCCTATATAATGAAGTCCAAAGTCCTCAGGCCACTCATGATCTGGCTTTGAATTAGTTGGGATTAGGTTCAGTTGTGTCAGAAAACCCAAAATAATAATGGCTTAAAAATAAGATAGGAAGTTTACTTTCTCTCATGTGAATGAATTCTGGAGATGAGTAGCCCAGGACCAGTATACAAAGTGGTCAGAGATCCAGACCCCTTACAGTGCCCTGCCCTGTCATCCTAAGAACATTCCCATCCTCTTGGTTTAAGATGCAGCTGGGGCTCCAGCCATCACATCTGCATTCCAGGCAACAGGATGGAGGTAGGGGTAAGGGAAAAGGGCACATGCCAATTGCTGTTTAAGGAGGTTTCCTAGAAGTATCCTCCCACCATTCCCAATTACATCTCATTGGCTAGAACTTAGTCACAGGGTCACATCCAGCTGCCTGGGAGGACGAAAAATATACATAGTGTTATTCTGTGTGGCCCTACATCAAACTAAAAATTGGGAGTTTTGTTACTAAGGAAAAGGAAAGATTTGGGTAGGAGCTGCCACAGGCAACTATCTCTGCTTCAGAATGCCCTCTGCACACTCTTGTAACAACACATCCTGCTGGGATGGAATTATTTGACATTTGCTATCACTCCCACTAGGCTGAGAGCTCTTAAAGGTGGAGGATCTTGTGTGCTTCATTTTTGCAGTATGGTATTTGGGGCAGCGTTTGGCAAGGAGAAGAGGCTCAATAAGTGTTTGATGAATAGAGGTACCAGTGGAGAAAAAAGTATAGGAGAAAGGAAGGGCTCCGAGAGTATCCTCGAGGAAGGGGGGAAGCTGCTTGTGGGTAAATAATCCTGTCCTAGAAAAAATAACAGTAAATGCTAATGAGTCATGTCATAAGATGAATAATGTCATAATACATCATCATGCCATTTGTTATAACCTTATGAATTAGGACAGGTTTGTGTGTGTGTGTTCACCCTCTTAACAGAAGAAGCAACAGATTTGGTGATGTGGAGACATGGCTGAGGTCACACAGGCAGTGAGGGACTTGTATTCTTTCACTCCTGGTCCAGCATTCTCTTCTGGAGCATGTGGGAGGTCAGGGTAGGTGGCACAATCAGGCTACCTGCTGCGCACGAAGCTCTGTGGTTTTTTGGCTTTGGTAGTGAATGAAATACTGGAGGCTCATTGCAGGCAGAACAGCATCTCAGGAGGCCTGAAGAAGAACTTCAGAGAATGCCTTCCTCAGGTGGGGCTGCCCCCCATCAGGTGGCCTGGCCCCCTGTCAATCGCAAGCCTTGTAAATACATGGGAGGCAGGCTAAGAACCTGGAATTTTCGGCCGCCGGGATTTCACCAAGAAGTGTGTCTTGCGTCCGTGATTTATAGTTTTCTGAGTACAGGACTTTCACCTCTTAGATTAGGTCTGTTTCTACGTTATCTTATTCTTTTTGGTGCAATGGTAAATGGGATTGTTTTCTTAATTTCTCTTCCTATTGCTTCATTTTTAGTGTATAGAAACGTCACAGATTTCTATACATTGATTTTGTATCCTGCAACCTTACTGAATTCATTGGTCAGTTCTAGCAGTTTTCTGGTTCAGTCTTTAGGATTTTCTGTATGTAGTATCATGTCATCTGCAAACAGTGAAAGTTTTACTTCTTCCTTACCAATTGGATGCCTTTTATTTATTTTTGTTGTCTGATGATGGTGGCTAGGACCTCCGGTACTATGTTAAATAAAAGTGGTGAAAGTGGACATCCTCACCCTTTTCCTCATCTTAGGGGAAAAGCATGTTTTTCTCCATTGAGTATGATGTTCTCTGTGGGTTTTGCATGTGTGAGATCTTGCCATTCACAACAACATGGGTGGAGTTAGAGAGTAGAATGCTAAGTGAAATAAGTGAGTCAGAGAAAGACAAATACTATGTGACTTCACTCATATGTGAAATTTAAAAACAAACAAAAACAAGCAAAGGAATAAACAGAGAGAGAGAGAGAGAAACCAAGAATCAGACTCTTAACTATAGAGAACATGCTGATAGTCACCACCAGGGAGGTGGGGGAGGGGGGTGGGGCGGGATGGGATGTGTGAAACAGGTGGTAGGGATTAAGGAGTGCACTTGTGATGAGCACCAGGTGATATCCGGATTGTTGAATCACTGTGTTGTACACCTGAAAACTAATATAACACCGTTAACTATAGTGGAATTTAAAATAAATAAAATCGATTCAAATACAAAAAAAAAGAAGTTTGTCTTGGGGCACATCCCAGGTGGTATGTTCTTAAAGTGCCATAAGTTCTCATCTAATGGTTGATTGTCCCAAGACAGGACCTCAAGGACAATATTAGAGCCAGATCTTTGCTTGGAATGAACAATGTCTTGTATTGGACAAGAGGGGAGAGCTGTTTGTGTGTTTTCCTATCTAGTTCCATCTTGGGTGCAGGACTGGCAGGTTTTGTAGGGTGGTGAATACTGCTGTGCCAAACACTCAGGCATTCACTGGCATAGTGGTTCTCCAGAGGTGGTCCTGGGGCCAGCAGCATCAGCATCACCTGGGAGCTTGTTAGAAAGGCAAATTCTTAGACTCCACCCAGGCTCACTAATTAAAGTGGATCCCAGCAATCCGTGCCTTAACAAGCTCTCCAAGTGATCCTGTGAAGCCCTGCTCTGGTAGGTGCCCAGGTAAGAGCGGAAAAGGGCAATAAGCACAAGCTGGCCATCTCTCTGGGTCGTGGTGAGTGTTGTGGGAGGGCTGGTGAGGTGTGTCCTGGCCTGTCTGCAGTGTGGGCTGTTTTTCTGCGGCACACTGATTCCTGGGAGAAGGCCCATCCCAAGGGAAGGAGCCGGGCCAGCCAGGAGCAACAGGTAAGGAAGCCGGTGGGCCCCCCGTGAGGAGGAGGGCAGAGCAGCCAGTTGGAACTGCTAGTCAGGCATGCCAAGGCCCATGTGCGGGCTGGGCCAGAGCAGATGCTGGTCCCTCGGCCAGCTTGCACTTGTGCTCCTGAGTACAGGCCAGAGATTCTAGGCTGCCTGGCCATCAGTGTTCCTGTTTCCTTCCCTGTTCCTTGGTCGTGTCCTTTAGAGCTGCCTTGCCTGAGCACTGCCAATGAGCAATGCAAATTCTCCAGATTTGACAGTATGCCTGACACCTTTTATACTTCTCATTACCCTTCTATGGTGAAGCAGGCCATCACCTCCCTTGGGGGATGCAGTTGGATGTTAGGTCACAGGCACTGTCTGCTTGATTGGGCTTTTGGGCATTCATTTCACACCTTTACCACCCAGGGCTTTGTCATTCTGGTGATGAGAAGATGAGTAGGCTATCACCATGACACGTGGTCAGGGAGTAGCATGCCTGTGTTAGATGCAGCATGCTAAAATCAATAAATCATTTCATGACAAGGTATTGGTGAAAAACCATTAATTGTCCCAGTGTGTGATTAAATCCCATAACTATGTTTACTGTCGGGCAGTGAAAGCTCTGTCCTGTGTGTTTTACACGTCGATGCTAAATAATGTCTCTGTTCTTGTGGCCAAGTGTGCTGCATGGTGAATGGTTCTGGCTCATGCGCTGGACTGGGTGGGATGCCAGGATCTCAGCAGTGGAAGTGGGTGCTGGGGAGGGGAGGGTGACCCACTTGTGGAGTTGGATTCTGGGGGAGGTGGCCCAAACTTGCTGTGTCCACATTAGTAACTGCATTTGACAAATGATGAGGGTGTGTTAGGGCCCAAGTGTGGGCCACACAAAGGGAAATCTCTGTGTTGATGAGAAGCAAGGGTAGGGAGGTAGCCACCTAGAAGTCCCTCAGGTTTGGAGCTGTGTGCAGCAAGGGCAGGGCTTTGCATCTCGGATGGCCAAAAGGACAGGGGCTCCAGGCCTGAAATGGGAGCTGCATAAGAAATCGGGTGGGAACTGTCTGACGTGGGTGTCCGTGGCAGATGTGTAGCTTGCAGGGCACGCTGAGGCTGGTGGAGGAGAGGCTGCACACCTGCCACGATTGGCCTCTGACGATGAACGGTGTCAGGGCCTGCAGGAGGCAGGACTGCCAGCGCCTGAGCCCCAATTCCAGTGCCTGGCAATGTGAGGTAGGTTATCAGTTAGGTTCCCAAGAACGTCATGGATTTTCCAAGTTTCAGTTACAAGCCTACCTTCCACCTGTATGACTTCACCTCTGCCCTCCCCGGGGGAGACTTCTGGAGTTTTGTTGGCTTTCTGAGCACAGCAGGTTGTAGAGGGAAGCACCTTGGAGTCAGGTCAAGCAGGCCCTGGATCTTGGTTTTGCTGTATGAATCTGGGTGCTTCAAGGGAACTGCTCTTCATCTTGCTGAGCATTGAGCATGGCTGTCCCCTTCTCTCAAATGAGATCCATCATGACTTTCTCATAAATATCATTGCAGTCAGGAGGAGGTGGAGCATCCTCCTCCTCCTCACGGAGCTTCTGAATCCACGCTCGCTCCCTCTCGCTCGCTCCCTCTCGTTCTCTGCCCTGTTCCTCGTTCCCAGCCTGCATGCATCCCACAGTTCTCAAGCTCCTCTGTATTTTGAAAACGCAAATGACTTGGGTAAACACGCAGGAGTTCATTTACGTCAGCTTTGTTGTAAACAGGGACTTGGGGAAAAGGAGTTTGTCTATATTTCCTTTACTTGGAAAGCCAGAGGCAATTTTCTTTTCCTTTTAGTGAGACAGAATTTATGCCAGATATCCTACCCTAGAGATCAGGTTCAGTCCTCTGGGGATGGAGTCACATAACATCCATCACAATCACAGGGAGGGTGGGGACCTGGGCCTCATCCACAGCCTTGATCTTGGACAAGGAGCCTAGCTCCGGTTGCGGTTGCGTAGGGCGGTGGGGAGGGGGGGAGCAGGAGGGCGGGGGGGAGGGGGGGAGCAGGAGGGCGGGGGGGCGGGGTAAGCAGGGGGAGCAGGAGGGGGGGGGTAAGCAGGGGGCCGTGGGCTCAAGCACTTGGACCGGCCATCTGTTCGGTGCCACCACTTTGGAACAACCCAACATCTTCCTCTCTTTTGTAGGAATGAATTTTTAAAATTCCTGCCTCCTAGCCTGGATGTGCATTTGGATTATACTGCTGCTTGATCGGCTTTCCCTCTGTGCTTTCCCCCACACCCCAGAGCTTGAGCTGCGTTTGCTGCTGTTAGCAGAAAGGGGGAGGTCCTTTGGACCTTCAAAATCCTCCAGCTGCAGGGCTGCCTGGCACGTCAGAGCTTTACAGCTGCATTTAATCTTTGGGGAGCGGGGCTGCTGGAGGTGTCCCAGCGTCCTGGCGCCTGTGGGCGAGTGGTTGGCTTGCCCCAACTATGCATTTGAGCTGATGAGTCTTCAAAAGGAAGAATCACGTTACAAAGCTATGCGTGTTTCTAAGTGCCCTTGTGTCAGAGGTATATGATATGATGTGTGTGGTTTGTCATCCCGGCTTACAACAAACTCTTGAGAGCTGTTGGATCCCCAGTTTTAGATGCACAGCCTGGAAAATGTAGGTGGAGATTTTTGGAAGACCTAGGGGGAGAGTATGGTAGGAAAGGATAAAGGAGGCCTCTTTAGGGCAGGACAATTCTAGAGGAAGAAGGGAGGAGAGGAAGAGCTAAAGGAGAGAATGGGAGGGCAGTTAGCCAGAGCTGAGCAATTCAGTTCTGTGTACACATAGTATGTCCCTACTGTATGCACAGTACCAATTCTAGCACCTGCAGTCATAAATGCTCCTTGTGCTCTGCTGTTAACAGTAAAGGATGGATATCTACAGGGGAAGGTAGCTCTGGGCATCTCCCTGGATACAGCCAGGGAAGCACGTGCCCCAGCAGACTGGCTATGACCATGGCCTTGACTTCCATTTCTTTGGAACACCCACCACCAGCTCTTCAGGACCTAGACTGTACCACTGTTTTCTGCCCTGTCTCTGGGGTCTAGCATAATGCCTGCCATAGTTAGGTCCATACTGAATATCTACTGAATGAGCAGGAGTGAATATTTAATATTGTGGAAAAGCACACCAGGGACTAAAGGATTCTAAGTCAAGACATAGCTCACTGTATTCATGTCCTTCAATTTTTTTTTTTCTATTTTGAATGTTCTGCTGTCTTTGAAGATAGAGCAAGGAGTCTAGAGCTCAGGAATTTAGGTTGCCTTACAAATCAGAAAAATAAGTGGGAAATATCAGGGAGACAGAACATGGAAGACTCCTAACTCTGGGAAACGAACTCGGGGTGGTGGAAGGGGAGGAGGGCGGGGGGTGGGGGTGACTGGGTGGCGGGCACTGAGGTGGGCACTTGACGGAATGAGCACTGGGTGTTATTCTGTATGTTGGCAAATTGAACAGCAATAAAAACTAAATTTATTAAAATCAGAAAAGGCAAAGAAAGAGATTTCCCTGCTGGAGCCTCCAGAAGGAATGCACCAGCCCTGCTGACACCCTCAAATATGTTATTCAAATGCTGACTGATTTAGTAGGTCTGGGGTGGGGCCCGAGACTCTGCATTTCTAACCAGCTCCCAGGTGATGGTCCTTGGGCCATACTTGGAGCAGCAGAGCTCTACATGTTTCCTAAGAGCTGGCCAGTCCTCCTCTGCCAATCTGACCTGGCCCTCCTCTGAGGTCAGAAGTAATGCCTCCCACAGGGCCTCACTGGATGGATGTTAATAAAGGCTGAAGCCTGCTTCACCAGAAAGTAGAAGATTATAGGTTGGGACTCAAATAGAATTTTATTCCCGACCTCATCTGCAGTCTGCTGAGCTCTGTGGTCCAGTAACCCCGGGACCACACAGAAGGAGAAAGCAGGCATTTCTGCCCCTCCCCCTGCGGGTGCCCTGGGTCATCTCTGCAGCTGAGGGGTTTGTTTGTACCCTACTGTCCCCACTGAGTACCCTTTGTGACCAAAGCCTTCCTAGACTCCAGAAAGGTGGTCACTAAGATTCCTATGGGCATGCGTGGCCAAGGGCCGTTTCATTAGGGGTCTTTGGTGTGGTCCGGATCCTTTGACATTCAAGATTCTCTTTCTGGCTTGGCCATTGCTTCTGATGATTTCAGACAGACCCAATTATTCTCTTCTGGAATTCAGTTCAGCTATAAACAGCTACCATCATGTCCATCTCCACCAACATTTTACTACCACCATTGTCCCTGCCACTTCTGCAGTGGCTCCCTCCCCCAGCAGCACTATGGCACCACCTCTGCCTTGTACTCCCAGTGCCCTGGGTGCTTTTACACTGCCTCTCCATCAACCTATGGGGCGGGCACCCTTCTTTACAGCTAGAAGTATAAGGGTCAGAGAAACTAAGTCTTAGGTCTGAGGTCTCCTAGTCAGGAGCAAGGCTGGGACTCCATGTTCTTGGATTCCAGAGCAATTGTTGTCACCTCCCATTACTCTGTCTCCTCCAAGGGGTCCCCACATCCCTCTTCTACTTCAGTTTATCAATAGGCCTGTGGCTTTTGCCTTGGCAAGGGATGAAGGGAAGAGACTCTTCCCTAGGGAGAAGGGAAGAGTCCTCCTACCCTGGGCACAGTGCTTATCCAGTCGGAGAGGCAGCTCCAATCTTCCTGGGTCCAGTGGCCATCCCCTTGGGTTAATGGCTAGACTTCTGTGCCAAAGTGGCAGACTGAATGGGTCCCTTCACTTAAACTCTTAGTGGGGTGGCTGGGGGACATGGTCAGCAAGGTCACTGTCCCTTTATAACTTCAGTTTATAAAGTCAATCTTTGAAAGAACTTTGTATCTTAAAACCCTTACCCCACCCCTGTCCTGAGCCTGTAATGTGAGTAGAAAGGCACTGAGTCATAAAGTACTGGTGACAAATGCGTTATGTTATTATGGCAATGAAAACTTTCAAAGAGCCTGGAGTACTTTATTCTCTGTCCTTGTCATACCTCTTTTTAAGGTAGGCAGGACGGGTATTGTTCCCATTTTATAGATGGGAAAACTGAAGTTCAAAGAGGTTAAGGACTGACTTAAGGTCACAGATGTAGGTTCCGAACGCAAACTGCTCCCAATTCTGGGGCTCTTTTGGTCATATGCTGGTGCTGTAGTGGTCTCTTGACTTGGTTGGATACAGTGTCATCAGCCAGCAGAGACTTCAGACCGGCTGCTCTGTCCACGCCCTAGCAGATTTATTATCAGCAACTGTCATTCCTTATTTTATTACCAAAAAAGACAACCCTTTGGAAAAACAACTGCAAATTAACCAACAAAGTACTCTGATCGCTGAGTCCGCATTTAAGTGAGAACAGGACACGGAACACCCAGGGGAGGGGCAGGAATGCTTCTAGATGAAAGGGCTCAGGTACTGGGAGCCAGAAGGATCGAGGTCACACCCAGAGATAGCTGATTAGGGGAGCAACAGGCAAGCGTATGCTGCTTGGCAGCTGGCCAGTCTGGAAGCACCAGGGGCAGGAGGCCGGTCAGGCCTGATGTCTGGGTTTTAAGAACCCAGGCCCAGAATTCTGGAGGAAGAATGTCAAGGACACATGTCTGGCAACAGAGTCTGGATGAAAAAAAAAAAAAAACGGTGCCTAGGCAAGAGACCAAGAATACCAAGAATAGAGCCTGATACTTACTAGGGTTGCATAAAGCAGAAGCTGTTTTTAGACTTCCTGTTCAAGGTGGAACTAGGTTTACGTGTTTGGGTTGGTCTGATTCCACGTGGGAAAGGCAAGCAGGCTGATGGATTGTACTGCGAGAACCAGGAGGTGAACAGCAAGGAAGTTCCAGCAGACAGTTTTCGTAGAGCTGTATTTTCCAAGCCAACCTTCTCCAGAATGCTGTTCCATAGGATGCTTTTGAGTGCGTCAAGAAGAAAGAGCTTGCACCTAATAAAGAAGGGACATACTGGATCAAATGAAGTTAAACAGGTTCCTCTTATTACAGGAGTTCTCAGTGCCTTTAATATGCAAATATGCAATGGGAATCCCTAAGTGAGAGCTGTTGAAAACAGTTTTCCAGATTTTTTTTTAAAGATTTTATTTATTCATGAGAGACAGAGAGAGAGAGAGAGAGAGAGAGAGAGAGAGAGAGAGAGGCAAAGACACAGGCAGAGGGAGAAGCTGGCTCCATGCAGGGAGCCCGACGTGGGACTCGATCCCTGGTCCCCAGGATCAGGCCCTGGGCTGAAGGCAGCGCTAAATCGCTGAGCCACTGGGGCTACCCCCAGATATTTTTGAACACTCTCTCCCCACCCCCTCTTCTTTTTGACCTTGCCACACCTGTTACATTTCCTGGAACACAGTTTGGGTAAACTCTGTCCTGTCCTCCTTCAGCTGGGCCAGTGGCCACACCTGCAACCCTTTCTGCTTCCCACACGGGGACCCTAGCCCTTTTGCTCCTCTTGAGTGCGCTGGAAGGAGTGGTTAGGATTAGGAACTTGGGCAAAATACCATTGTGATTTTAAGATTAGCCCACGCCTTGGTCTCTAACTTGGCATGTTTTCTTCCGGTCCTCCCCCCCCCCCCCCCCCCCGTATGTCTTTTTAAAGCTTGGTTATCACAGTCTGATACGTTTTAGACTAGTATTTAGTGTCCTATATACTGGGGTTGGCAGTTCTGACCAATGTATTTAACTCCACTGAAATTCAGAATAAAACTTCAACAAAGCCCAAGGACCTCACTGTTTCTGACCACCAGCATATAAACTGCCTACCTTATTCACTCAAATGAGCAGGAACCAGAGGCAAAGAGTGAAGTAGGGGGACAGCCAGATCCTGTTGTCCCTTTGGCTCAGCCTTTGTCTTATGTGTGACCACAGCCATTTGGCCTGGACCCAGTAGTACTCCCTGATTTTGTTTCTGGAAGCTGTTCCCTTCCTGTTTCTCCCACTCTGGCCTCAGCCCTTCTGTACTGGGAAGGTTCTTAGTGGTCACTGGCTTGCTATATTAGTTCTTCAGCTTGAACACGTATCAGAATTAACTGGAAGGCTTTTAAGAACACAAATTGCTGGGTCCCACCCCCAGGGTTTCTGATTGAATAGGTTTGAGATGGAGCCTGAGAACTGTTATTTTATTAAGTTCACACATGATGCTGAGGTTGTTGATCAGAGGGCCACACTTTGAGAATCTACTGGTCTATACTTCCCACATCTGTGTATCAGAGTCAGCTGGGAGGCCTGCTTACATGGAGATGCCTGGAGCTCACATCAGCCCTACTGAATTGGAATTGTCAGGGGTCAGGTCTTGTCTGCCTCTCCCTGGCTTGGCCTCTGATGTCCTGCTTCCCTCTCTTCTGTGCCAAATAGGGATACTGGGATGTTGGACCCTTCTGCAGTGAACTTTCTCAACTGCCTATTGCCACAGAAGCCCATCACCTCCAATGTGGCTAGGAAAGGTGAGAAGAAGAACTTGTATTTGCCATTTGATCAGTTTTCAGAAGGCCCTTATCTGGGTGTACTGTCTGTCTGTCTCTGTCTCTCTCTTTCTCTCGGAAGTGAAATTATCCTTGCATGGCATTTTGTCAGATGTTAATCTTCAATAATCCTGTGGAGTAAATATCATTTTACATGTAAAAAGACTGGCTCAGAAGTTTTAAGAAATTGGCTAATTACTCAAAGTCCCATAATTTCCCCATTATCCAGTGCTAGAGAGAAAGCTCTAGGTGAGTATAGACACTAGGATTTGGGGGGTAAGTGCCTCCCCTCCCTACCTGGGAATAGGTGTGCGGGCAGAATGAATCTGGGGGTACCACTGTGGTGAGCCCACGGGCATCAGGTTGCATCTAATTTCAGGTAATTTTTATACAAAGGTATCTTAATAGGGCTCTTAAATTAGAACTTCCGACAAATTGGTCTTCAGAATTGAGACTAACTGAATAAATGCAAAGTGGATATAATTAGGTGTACTAAATAATTGAACACTTAGTTTTCTTCCCACTTGTCACATAAAACTCCATTGGATGAATAGTCTCTTTTCTAAAGTGGGGAAACTGTACTCAGTAAGGTCAAATGATTTATCCAAGGGTTATGGGATTAACAAGCAGCAGAATTAGAATTTGAAGTCTGTCTGACTTTGAAACCTGTGCTCTTCAAATTGAGACTAACAAGTGTTGGTGAGGATGTGGAAAAAAAAAAAAGGAACCCTCATTACATGGCTGATGCACAAACAAAATGGTACCACCACTTTGGAAAGAAGCTTGGTAGTTTTTCCTAAAGGTAAATGTACCCTTATTATATGACCTAGCAATCTCATTCCTAGGTATTAACCAATAAAAGGGAAACCTATTTGCAAAGACTTATGCACAGCGTTGATAGCCATTTTCTTTCCAATGGTCCCAAACTGGAGACTACTGAAATGTCCAATGGGTGAATGGGATAAATTATGATATATCCATATAATGAAATTCTACTTAGTAGTGAAAAAGAACATAATGAAAAAGAATCACAACATGGATGGATATCCCCCCAAAACAAAAAACTAAAGAAGCCAGACATCAAAGAGCACCTACTCTGACTCCATTTATGTGAAATTCTGGGAAAGGCAAAACAAATCTAAAGTGGTACATGTGCAAGAGTTAGGGTATAAGACTTTTTTAATCTCCATTTTAGAGCTGAGAAAATGAGGCCTGAGAAGGTAAAAGGATTAAACAGGATGGTTCAGGATTACACAGCCAGTGAGCTACTCTTCTCTTCTCGATCCAGGCTGTCCTGCTTGCCCTTACTTGGGTTGCTGACTCCCTCTTCTCTCTGGGAGAGCGTCCACACTCAAAGTGTAAGCCTGGGCTTACTGCATCCCTCTGCAAGTAACCCCATACCCTGTAAGTTGGCATCACCTGGACTTTTCTGCCCCTGGTCTTACATCTTTCTTCTCACTTTATTTTCTTTCTTTCCCCAACTTCCTAATGCTCTTGCTTGCTCTCCTCAAACCCTCTCTCTGGTGCTTATATTTTCAAAATGCCTGTACCAACCTCTCACTACTTGGGTGGGAGCTTTCTGTTTTGTTTTCTTTAGTGAGAAAGCTTAATTATTTGTCCCTCCCAATGTTGATAGGATGGCAGGATGCCCAGTTGAATCTGAATTTCAGATAAGCAGTGTTTTTTTTTTCAGTATAAGTATGTCCCAAATATTGTATAGGACATACTTATTCTATGACATTATTTATTGCTTATCTGAAATTCAAATATAACTGAGCGTCTTATAGATTATCTGCTAACCCTAGCTCCTCCTGACATGTTACTAATTTTTTAGGGAGGGACCTTTTGAGAGAACCTCTAAGAAGACTGTCTTCCTGGGAAGCAAAATAAAACTGGCCCTTCAGGGTTTCTCCACCCATGTATTTACCACTCGTGTTCTTTGTGCTTGAGCTTCTATCCCAAAGTGTCTCCTTCTGGTTTCCCTTGCTTTGCCCTGTCCTTCATCTCCTAGCTCTGGTCACCTTGCCTGTCTCCAGTTTAACCACTCACTGCAGTTCTTGTCATGTTGCTTGATGCAGCTTTTCCAGCCTTACCCCTGTGTCTCTGCTCAGCCCCAGCTTGTCTTTGCGTATGTCCCCTGGTATGTCCCCCCCAACATGGCCAGGCCTGGGCCCCTACATGTCAGGGTAAAAGCCACAGTGCATTCAAGATTCAGTGCATTCCAGAGCCCACTTGAGTCACAGCAGAAACAATGACTTGGAGTCTTCACTCCTCTATCCATCTCTACCCCGTACGTGTGAATTAAACAGAGTAGATTCAAATTCATTGCCAGGGTTGAAAAAGGGCAGATGTCTGATCTGCTGCACTTTTTGTAAGTCACTGCTGGATAAAAGGACTGAGAAACATGGCCTCAGTTGACAAAGGGCAAAAAGGGCAAAAAACTTCATTTAGTTTATGTCAGTAAGATTTTGGCAATTGTTCCAGGAAAGAAAAAAAGGAAATCTTATGTTAAGCTCCCTAGTGAGATATTTCACAATTCTCTCTTTTGAGATTTTGCAGGCAGGAAACACACGCAAACCACTTGGTCTAGAGAACACTAAATGAGAAGCTGTGAGAACGGTTGGTTTATAGTCACAGCATTTTTCCCCTAGATTTATTGAAGTATAACTGATAAATTGTAAAATATTTAAAGCCTTGATATATACTGTGAAAGGACCCCTCCCCCATCAACTTAATTAACACATTCATCACCTTACATCTTATTATTTTTGGTGAGAACATTTAAGTTCTAATCTCTTAGCAAACTTCAATTACATAATACAGTGTTATCAGTTATACTTACTTTGTTAGACCTTAAATACTCAGACCTTATTCATCTTTTGGATGAAAATTTTTACCCTTTTGCCAACTTCTCTGTTTCTCTCACCTCCAGCCACAGGGAATCACTTTTCTACTTTCTATAAATTTGACCTTGAAAAAACTTTAAAGATTCTACATATAAGTGATGTCATGCAGTATTTGTTTTTCTTTGGCTTATTTCACTTAGCATAATGCCATCTAGATTCAACCATATTGTTGCAAATGACAAGGTTTCCTTCCTTTTTAGGGCTGAATAATATTTGAGTATGTGAGTGCATGTATCTGATTTTCTTTTTTTTTTGTTTTTTATTTTTTTAAAGATTTTATTGATTCATGAGAGAGAGAGAGAGAGAGACAGAGAGAGAGAGGCAGGCAGAGACATAGGCATAGGGGGAAACAGGCTCCATGCAGGGAGTCCGATGTGGGACTCGATCCTGGGACTCCGGAATCACGCCCTGAGCCAAAGGCAGATGCTCAACCACTGAGCCATCCAGGCCTCCCTGTATCTCATTTTCTTGATCCGTTAATTGTCAATAAACACTTAGATTATTTCTATACATTGGCTATTGTGAATAATGCTGCACCAAATATGGGAGTATAACATCTCTGTTTGAGGTAACGGTTTTGTTTCATTTTGAAATACACTCAGAAGTGGGATTACTGAGTCATGTGGTAATTCTATTTTTAATTTTTTTAAAGATTTATTTATTTATTCATGATGGGGAGAGAGAGAGAGAGAGAGAGAGAGAGAGAGAGAGGCAGAGACACAGGCAGAGGGAGAAACAGGCTCCATGCAGGGAGCCCGATATGTGACTCGATCCCGGGACTCCAGGATCGTGGCCTGGGCCAAAGGCAGGCGCCAAACCGCTGAGCCACCCAGGGATTCCTATTTTTAATTTCTTGAGGAACTTGCAAATTGTTGTTCATGGTGGCTGTACCAGTTTATGTTCCCACCATCAATGTACAAGGAATCTCTTTTCTCCATACCGTCACCAACATTTGTTAGCTGTTGTCTTTTTGGTCATGGTCATTCTAACAGGTATGAGGTGATTGCTCATTGTGATTTGATTTGCATTTCTTTGATGACTAGTGATGCTGAGTACCTTTTCCCATTCCTGTTGGCCACTTGTACATCCTTGGAAAAATGACCATTTGGGTCCTTTTCCTACTTTTAAATTGGGTTATTTGTTTTGTTTTGCTCTAAGTTGGAGTACCTTGTACATCTTGGATATTAACCCTTTATTGGATATGTGGATATGTGGTTTGTAAATATTTTCTCCCATTCCGTAGGTTGTCTTTTGTTGATGGGCATCTCTGTGGGCAGTTTTCTAGCTTGATGTAGTCCCACCTGTTTGTTTTTGCTTTGTTGCCTTTGCTTTTGGTGTCAAATCCAAAAAAATCATTGCCAAGGCCAATGTCGAGAAATTTACCTGCTCTGTTTTCTCCTACAAGTTTTATGGTTTCAGGTTTTCAAGTCTGTAGTCCATTTTGAGTTCATTTGTATGTATGGTGTAAGGTGAGGGTCTAGTTTCATTTTTTTTTTTTTTGCATGTGACTATCTCATTTTCCCAGCACTATTTTTTTTTTAAAGAAGCTATCCTTTCCACTTTGCATATTCTCAGTTCTTATAAACCATATATACATGGGTTTATTTTTGAGCTCTCTAGGTGTTCCATTTCTCTAGGTGTCTGTTTTTATGGCAATACCATACTGTTTTGATTGCCATAGCTTTGTAGTATAGTTTGAAGTCAGTTGTAATATATTTGAAGCATGATGTTTCCAGCTTTGTTTTTTTCTCAAGATTGCTTTAGCTATTCACGATCTCTTATGGTTCCATGAAAACTTTAGAATTGATTTCCTGTTCCTGCATCCTGTTGAAGAATGCAATAGGAATTTTGATAAGATTGCATTGAATCTGCAGACCATTTTGTATAATATGAACACTTTAACAATATTAAGTTTTCCAATCTATGAGCATGGAACATCTTTCCATTTATTTGTGTCTTTAATTTCTTTCACCAATGTTACATAGTTTTTGGTGTACAGACTTTTCACTTCCTTGGTTAAATTTATTCCTAAGTATTTAATTTTTTTGATGCTATTATAAAGAGGATTGTTTTCTT